GAGCAGACATATATTCTACTTCTCAATGAAAGAAGTGTCAAAGAATTTGAATTTCACTTTGTAAACTTTTCATATTAGAATTCATTCGTGTCAATGTCAGGTAGCATATATTGATGGAAGTCAAGCAGAAAATAGTTGACACATTCAAAGAAATAATGGAGGACATTTTAAATGAAAGATCTATTTACAGAGATGTGGGTGGGGTTAAGGAAACCAATAATGAATGGCAAAGAACCCAAGGAACATAATAGCAGGAGGCCAATGGCCACCCCTAGACGTGAAGGGACAAAGGAAAGACCCAATTAGAGCTGCAGCCATAGGACAAGGACTGCTAGTAAGAAGCTCTGCCTTTATGTAGAGAGGAATGAATCTGCCATTTCAATAAAACCCAGGGCGCAGTGGCTCATGCCTGTAATCCAGCACTACGTGAGGCCAAGGCAGCTGGATCACTTGAGGCCAGGAGTTGGAGACCATCCTGGCCAACATGGCAAAACCCCGTCCCTACTAAAAATACAAAAATAAGCTGGGCACGGTGGCACATGCCTGTAGTCCCAGCTACTCGGGAGGCTGAATCCTAAGAATCGCTTGAACTCAGAAGGCAGAGGTTGCAGTGAGCTGAGATCATGCCACTGCACTCCAGCCTGGATGACACAGCCAGACTCTGTCCGAAAAATAAATAAAATAAAATAAAAAAGTCCAGCAGAGAAGAAAGGAAGGAAATTAAATTCACAGTGTCCTTCTTATCCCAACTCTTGTTTCCTGCCAGTGACTCTAGTGAGAGCTAGATTTGACCAGAAAACACAGGGCAGGAGAGCTTGAGATATGTCTGTTCTAAAGTGCATCCTCTCAAAGCACAAAGACAGGCAAAGAAGGACAGAGAAGGAAAGTGAAGGGGTGTTTGTAGAATAACCAGCATAATTTCCCACCCCCCTTCAACCTCAGCATCCACTCTCGACTTGTGTTCAGATGCAAAATTGCACATACCTAATTCAGACAATACTCGTATTCCTATCACACACCCCATCACTGTGGAGTGAGGTTGTTTCAGTCAGCCCAATGTAGACACAAAGTCAAAAAGTTAGCCACCACCATTGCTTCTCCTAGAAAGGAAGGAAAGGGAAATGAATGACAAATAATTCATATGAAACATAACTGCTGTGGTCCCTGCCTTGCAGCTGGCCATAGAACTGTGTTAATAATCACAGATTTCTTCTCCCTCATTCATTATATATTCCCCGACTTTCTGCCAGTACCCTAGCTAGTCAAAGATTTTACCTGGTGATGAGTCAAACCCTCATTCCCAGTCTCCAAATCCTTAAAGTCTACTCTCTTTATTACTTCATCAGAGTTTCTTATTAACCATTATTATTTAAAATGAGAATATCAAGAAATATCTCAGTGAAACCCCTAGCTTTCAGGTATACTCCCCTGTGCCTACCTCCACCCCAGTCTGTTTAGCAGCAACTCTCTTTCCTCTTGACAACCAGGATTAATCTTCCTCATCAGGAAAGAGACGACCTTGTCTGTTTCTTGGTTCAGCAGCAGAAGTTTCATATGTAGGTTATGCAATGGATATTGCATAACTTTTGCAATATTTATATTGCAAGTGCCAAGGGGAGAAGGAATCTGTGATTATTAACACAGCCCTCTGGCCAGCTTCAATGCATGAACTATGGCAATTATGTTTGATATGAATTATTTGTTACTTATTTCTTCTTCTTTCATTTCTAGGAGAAGCATTGATGGTGGCTAACGTTTCAATTTAGCTTCTCTTTGGGTTGGCTGAAAAGACTTCTCCCCACAGTGATGAGCGGGCTGATAGGAATATGAGAATCATCTACATTGTGTATGTGCAATTTATTTTCATCCAAATACAAATCAAGAATGGATGCTGAGGTTGCAGGGGGAAATTATGCTGGTTATTATACATAAGCCCCTTCACATTCCTTCTCTGTCCTCCTTTGTGTTTTGCAAGGATGCACTTTACAGAAGACATTTCTCAAGTTCCCTTGCCCTCTGATGTATGGCTGAGTTTAGCCAAACCTTCTGGCACTGAGTTTTTTGGAGAAAATTTATATACAGAGAAGCAGTAGAAAGTATGTGGATACTCCATTGCACCTTGCATTCCAGGGTAGTGTACACAGATTTAACAGGACTAGACATTAGACTTTGGGAGAAAGATGCTAACATTTGGGCTGTTAGAGTAAACGGCATGATAGGAAACACTGGCTTCATTCCTAGTATAATCAGGGGCTGCAACATAATAGCATGAGGATGTGGTGGAATTGTAGTTCCAGCTCTATCCTGCCAGCTCAGCATTCATACTTGGTGATAAACTAGCCTCATCCCTGGCATAAATAGAAAGCTGGGGAAACAAGCCTCCTGGCTACAGATGTATTGTGTGGTTTGCTAGTAGCATGACTCACTACCAGAATATTCAAGGTTGGGACTTAGAGGTAGAATAGCTCTTCTCTGGCATGATGGAAGGTGAAATGGATTCCAATAGGATTTATTGCCTAGGCATGTAGCTAGTTTCCTCAGAGCTTTGAAGGGGCACCACTTCTTTTCTCTGTGGCCAGCCTCCATGGGGTTAATCTTGGGCTAGTTAACCCTCACTTCTCCATGCAACAATAAAAGAAAGCACTAACATTTCCACATCTTAATAATAAGATCTGTGTATTCTGGCTCTGGAGAGAAGACATCATTTTGGTTGCTGGAGGTTAAGAAATATACCACGTCTTATAGGACCCCAATCCTTCAGTCTAATGCCTCTGTATTAGAGGTGCTGTAAATGAGCCTTCAGAAGATTATTTCAAGATCATATCAATTGCTTAAAAGTGATGGAGCATACGGATTTTACAGGCTTTCACCAATTACTACACTTCTTTTACCCTGCAAAGAACTCCTTAATCAGAGCTTACATTGCTTGGGACATTGCCGTGATGAATAAAACATTTTGTAAGTCCACAAATTGTGCCGCTGGTAGAAGCAATGTAGGAAGGGAAGGCAAATATAAACTTGGGACATACATCTATTCTCGTGAGGATGAATCATTAACCGCCCCCCACATAGTGGAAGTAGTTCAATGTAATAATCCTAACCAGTTGATTCCTGTGGGTCCACCCTGAGAATTTTGCTTTTGTCTTTGTCATTGGCAGTGTGAGTAATTAGTAACAGTAGTAGCCAGATTAGTCTTGGCAGTGTGAAATCCTAATTGTTGAGCCCATGCATAGCCTCCATTCCTGTTGGCATGGCCCTTCTGGACAAAGGCTCATTGAGCAAGCAGCAGGGAGCACGGAGCAGAGAGGAGAGGAAGAGGCTGGATAATACCCACTGGATGGATGATCTTCTCCACCTAATAAGAGCATTCTCTGGGGGCATTTGCACAGTACATGGATGACTTGGCACAAGAAGTTCATATACACACAACTTCCTCTTTGTTCTTCCAATAATATTCCCTTAGCCTTACATTCCGCTACTTCCAAATTTCTCACCATTCAGCCCACCTATCATCGATGTTTAAAATAAGAGTTCTACCTCACTGTCATGCAAAGTGGACAATCAGATAAATTACCTCATGCTATGCCTACTCTTCTCTACAGAAATGTATTTCATGGCCAGCCTTGGTGTCATTCTAATGTAAGTAGCCATCCACAGCTGGCTGGTGCCAGCATACCTTGTAGACCCATTTGTAAGCCATGTCTGTGCTTTTTGTTGCTCTCGTAATTCGTCCGTGGAAACTCCCCATGAGACCAGAGTGTAGGTTGTAGAGGTGATGAAATAGCAGAATTGGGATTCTGAGCTACCTGCTCATGCAATATGCTCACACCTACCTTCCCTCCTCAGGCCAGTTTTCTCTACATCATTTTCATTTATTTAAGAATGTTGCTGTTACAGCTACATTTATGATTTCATGGATGGTTAGTTCAGTTTTTGATTGGTAGAGTCTAGTTCCTGACAAGGACCTCATGTTATATAATCACTTGTGGGTCCACTGTTAGAAACTCAGTCTCTACCAGGGCTCAGTGGCAAAGCAAGTGTTGCCTTGAAAATGTAAGAGAATGGTCAGCAGAAAGAAAGGCTTTATTCTAAGCTCTAGGTGTATGTTCTCTAATTCCCTTTAGTGGGGTGGCAAGAGAACCCATAAAGCATACGTAGTTTTTTATGGACAGTGCTTGAGCCAATTTATTAAATTCTAAATCCTGAGTGAGTTCATCTATTTTAATAAATTAATCTTCACCCAATCTTATATTTTGTTTTCCTTTGTCCAGTACTCTTATAATATCTTCCGCCATATGTTTCCTAGATACCTAAGAATTAAAATAGGCAAAACTCCTTTAGTTTAATCGTTTCCTCACCCTGAGCAGGTCTTCCCCTTCTCTGTCTCAGCTATGCTAAGATTTAATTATCTTTATGCATTAGGAGGCAATGAGTTCTAGTGGGGATAGGGCCTGAGAAGAATTAGCATCTCCTAAGAAAGCACCTCTACGGGAAGAGGCATTAAAACATTTTTATGCAAAAGAAGATTCTTATAGCTTCCTAGGTAGAAACAAGGAAGGTTTGAGGACTGGAGGTTCAGTGTCTCAGACTCATCCCTTTATCTTCAAAGGTTCTCATCTCACATCTCAGATCCCACTGTTTCATAACCAGTCCCCTACTTTAGCACAGAAAATCTGACAGGACTGAGCACTTGTTTTGGCCTTGTAACCTTGTGACACTTAAAAGCAGTCCACGGATTTAATACTCAGCCAGGCTGACCCTGTAAATACAGGAAATAAGACCTCCTGTTAAAGTCATCATAGAGGCTTTCAGATTCTTCATGATGCATTGAGACAAGCATTCAAGGTGGTCAGTTTGTCTATATTTGTACAATGAACATTGGAATTTTTTGTACCATGTAGTATCTCACCGACAATAAAATGTGTAATATTTCAGGGACAATAAAAAACAATCAGATATTCCATAAACTCTGTGGTTTATGGTTTATTGCCCTGTAATGGTTTAAAATATGTCCACAAATTCTTAGATAGCCTCTTTAAAAGGTAAAACCTAATCCCACTCTCCCATCCCTGGTTGAGTGTAGGTTAAACTTAGCTACTTACTTCTAATGTTCAGAATGAGCTGGAGGCAATGGTTTGTGAATTCTATATCAGACACACAAAAAGCATGTGGCTTCCTACTTACCCTCGACCTGCAAGGAGAAACCAGTTTCATGTCAATACTTAGCCAGCCCCTATGAAGAAGCCTACACGGTAAAGAGCTGAGTCCTCTTGCCAACAGCCAGCAAGAAACATAAAGGTGGGACATCTTCGAAGCAGATTTCTTATCCTCAGTTAAGCCAACAGATGGCTGCAGCCCCAGCAGATATTTCAACTGCAACCTCTTTGAAGTCTGTAAGTCAGAAATACCTAAAATACCAGGTAAGACACTCCTGACTTCATGCCCTACAGAAACTGTAAGATCATTAGTGTTTATTGCTTGAAGCCACTAAATTTTGAGGTTACTTGTTACACAGTAATGAATAACTAATACACCCATGAAGTGAATAAATATCACGAGATATTGACCTGTGAGTGTCTCATTCTTCCCTCCATCTCAAGTCACTACACAGAGAAACTTGAGTAGTCTTGATATTACTGTGTGAGCTCATCAAATATGCGAGCAACACAATCCCAGAATTCCGCTTTGGAAGTCAGTTTCCTAGGTCTACTCTTGGTAACAAATTCCGCATTTATACAGAAAGAGGAACATGGCTAACCCAGAGGAGCAATGAACGAAGCATAAGACTCCTTATAGCATTGTGAAAAGAGTTAAGGGACCAGAGAAGAAATAGTAAAGAATCCAGAAACAAGAAACTGTAGAAATGTGTTATTTCTGCAGAACCTGGAGAGAGCTCTAGTTGTGATCCAAATGACCTGTGGCCTCAGAAAGCAAGGAAGGGAGAAGAGCAAATACCCTGACCTCTTTCTCAAGCTTTTACCTTCTCATATAGTTCTGCTATGTCTCATTGGCCAAACTCAGCTGGAAGCCAGACGGTAAGGGTTCCTTGGTGATGTAGACAGTAAAGCCTGCCTCAGGCCACAGAGCAGATGAGAAGAAGAATGAATGTCTCAGTCTGTTCAGGCTGCTGTAACAGAAATTCCACGGGCAGGACCAGGCGCAGTGGCTCATCCCTGTAATCCCGGCACTTTGGGAGGCCGAGGTGGGCGGATCACAAGGTCAGGAGATTGAGACCATCCTGGCTAACACGGTGAAACCCCGTCTCTACTAAAAATACAAAAAACTAGCCAGGCGAGGTGGCGGCGCCTGTAGTCCCAGCTACTCAGGAGGCTGAGGCAGGAGAATGGCGGGAACCCGGGAGGCGGAGCTTGCAGTGAGCCGAGATGGCGCCACTCACCCCAGCCTGGGCGACAACGCGAGACTCCGTCTCAAAAAAAAAAAAAAAAAAAAAAATAAAAAAATAAAAATTCCATGGGCAGGGTGGCTTGTAAACAACAGCTGGCTTATCATCATTCTGGAGGCTGGGAAGTCTAAGATCAAGAAGCCAGCCGATTCTCTGTTTGGTGAGGGCCCATTCCTCACAGACGGCACTTTCTGGCTCTGTCCTCATATGATGGAAGGGGCAAGGCAACTGGGGTGTGTTTTACAACAGCACTCATTCCATTCATGAGGGCTTCATCCTCACGACCTAATCATCTCCCAAAGCCCACACCTTACAATACTTCCACATAAAGGATTAGGGTTCAACATATGAATTTGGGGAAACACAAACTTTCAGACCACAGCTGTGAACAGTGTATCTGGAGGAAGGAATTGAATTTTTTTTTAAAGAAGCAAATGGTGTAAACTACTCACCAAATCATCAGTCAGTGATTGCTTATAAACCATCCTATAATACAAACCATGTTTTAAAAATTATTTGCTATAATGTAAGTCACATAATATTCCCATTCCTCAATGGAGACTATAAAATGAGGAGGAAAAGGCCATTTAGCATCTCTTACAGAGATTTCAGGTGGTCGTAGCTATAGCTCTAAATTTCAACTGGGGCAAAAAAAAAATAAGATAAATTAATTTCCTTTTTGTTCAATTTATGCTCATTTTCCACTCAGCCAAGAGAACAGATCACAAGTTGAAAAGAACTATTAAAAAATTAGTATCCCCAAATTCTTAGAATTGTATTCTTATTCATTAGTTTTTCACAACAATGATGAGAATTACTTAAGCCATCAAGCTATGCAAAGTTAAAACCCTTGAAACCTTCTCAACTTTTATTGAAACTGAAGGAATTAAACTTTATTTCTTATAAAATATTATCATCTCCTTTGGAATGATGAGATTTTCATCCCCCATAAAAGGCTGGGAAGTTTCTAACTCATGTTTTCTGAAGAAGTAGCTTAGCAACTGGTGTGCCCTAGACATGGGTGGCCCTTATTTCCCCCACCTTCTTGCAAGCCCTACTTCATACATAAACCATTATTAAATCATCCCAAGAGAGAAATGAGACTCTGAAACATGAACAAACCCTGTTGATCTAGATATACTTTTGTATCATGACACACAACATGTTTAATTGCTGAAGGAACAAAAAGGAAGCAAGGACTAAACAGAATGACTTGAACATGCTCATCGTCTGGTTAAAGGACTGTTGGGCTGCAATTCCTTCATTTGTTACACTAATACCAGATGGTAAGCTGAAGTGTTCAGAATATCTAAACTCTGTAGATAACCAATGAATAGTCATACTTTTTAGCTGACAACAGAAATGTTTAATAGGAAGGCTGCCCCTGGAAAACCCAAAATGACCAATTTTGCTTTTGATGTCTCTGCTGGCTGTAGAATCCAATCCTTTTCAGTATTGACCCTAAAAATGTTCATACCTTTCTTTGCTTAGTGGCATATACAAATATCTTTGTTGTCTTTAGATCTTCACAATATTCCTAACCTTAATCATATTAAAAATTCTATGAGTTATGAATTTACATTGGGTAATGTGATCGCTGCAGCCCCTGACTTCAAGGATTTCACAGCAGGAAAGACAGACAAGAAGCAATAAAAATGCAATGGTATAAGAAAGGTGAAAGCTGTGTTCAGAGAGGAGTATAGGCATAGAGAAGAGAAGGGAACTGGAGATACTCACAAAATAGGTGATGCCTGAACAGGATCTTGAAAAATACATAACAGCCATAACATCCAGCATTTTTAAGTAACAAGATACTATTAAATTTATTTAATACACATTATCACTTGTTCTTCACAGCAACCCTATGTGGTAGATATTGATATATGTATGTTGTAGATGATAAAACAGCAGTTTAGTGTTGACTTAGCATCCTTCCCAAAGTGAGAAAACTAATATTTAGAATTGAGGAGCTGTGTGGAGGGAGGAATGTGTCCTACAGAAATAAAAAAAAAAAAGGAAGAAAGTGCGATAGGAAATGGAGTCTGAATGGAGAACTTTTTATGTTCCCTAGACCTTGAACTTAATTACAATAGGGAGAAACAAATCTCAAATTAGAAATCAACTGAATTTGCCCTAGGGTCTAACTTGAGACATGTGTTGCAGATGGGAATCTTGTCCAAAATGGAGAAAAGAAATGTAGTGTTTTTTTTTGTTTTTTTGTTTTTTTTTGTCAGTCCTTGAACTATACAGAACACTCCATCTATCAACCACAGAATATACATTCTTCTCATCTGCACATGGAACATACTCTAAGATCAGCCATATGTTCAGACATAAAGCATGTCTCAATACATTTTAAAAAATGGAATACATACTAACCATACTCCCAGACCAAAATGGAATAAAAATAAAAATGAATGCCAGAAAGATAGCCCAAAACCACAATTACATGTAAATTAAACAAATTTCTCCTGAATTACTTTTGGGTAAACAACAAAATTAAGGAAAAAAAAAAAAAGAATTCATTGAGGTAAATGAAAACAAACACACAATTCACCAAAAAACTCTGGGTTGCAGCAAAAGCAGTGTTTAGAGAAAAGTTTATACTGCTAAACACTTACTTCAAAAAGTTAGAAAGATCTCAAATTAAAGATCTAGCAGGCATGGTGACTCACTCCTGTAATCCCAGCACTTTGGGAGGCCGAGGTGGGCAATCACTTGAAGTAAGGAGTTTGAGACCAGCCTGGCCAGCCTGGCCAACATGGTGAAACCCCGTCTCTACTGAAAATACAAAAATTAGTCAGGTGTGGTGGTGCACGCCTGTGATCCCAGTTACTTGGGAGGCTGAGGTAGGAGAATCACTTGAACCCAGGAAGCGGAGGTTGCAGTGAGCTGAGATTGCATCACTGCACTCCAGCCTGGGCAATAGAGCAAGACTCTGTCTCTAATAATAATAATAATAATAATAATAATAATAACAACAACATTACACATAAAGGAAATTGAAAAATAAGAAAAATGGTCTTCAAAGATAGCAGAATAAAAGAAAAAACTAGAAAAAAAAAGAGAAAGAACAAAAATCAGAGCAGAACTGAGTAAAATAGAGATAAAAAATCCATACAAAGAATTAATGGAGCCAAAAGTTGATTTTTTTGAAGGAATAAACAAGATTGATAGACAGTTAGATAGATTAGCAAATAAAAAAGAGAGAAGATCCAAATAAGCACAATCAAAAATGACAACAATGACAAAAATCACAACCAATCCCACAAAAATAAAAAAAGATCATCAGAGACTATTATGAAAACCTTTATGCATATAAACTAGAAAATCTAGAGAAAAATGGATAAATTCCTGGAAACACACAACCTCCCAAGATTGAATCATGAAGAAATTGAAACCCTGATCAAGTAAATGTTGAGTTCTGAAATTAAATAAGTAATAAAAAACCTGTTTATAGCCCTGGATCAGATGGATTAACAGCCAAATTCTATCAGACATACAAAGAAGAGTTAGTACCAAGTCTACTGAAATGATTCCAAAATAATGGAAGCAGAGAGACTCCTCCCTAACTTATTCTACAATGCCAGGATCATCCTGTTACTAAAACCTGATAAAGACACACTGTAAAAAGAAAACTGCAGGTGAATGTCTCTGATGAATGTAGGCACAAAATTCCTCAACAAAACATGACCAAACTGAATCCAACAGCACATCAAAGGTTAATTCATGACTATCAATTAGGCTTTATTCCTAGGATGCAAGGTTGGTTCAATATATGCAAATCAATATATGTGATTCACCACACAAAGATAATTAAAAACAAAATCCATGCTAGCTAAGCTACTTAATAAATGTTGATTAACTGATGAAATGTGATAAGCTACTAGCATCAATAGCTGTATTCTCTTTCAGAAGAGAAAATATTCTTTTTTAACCTTGTCACTATTCTAACGGAAATTCAATTATCCCTGTCTCATATTTGCTATAGTAACTATAATTCATAGTTACTATAGTTTAAAGGCACAACAAGATTATTATAAAAAATTAAGTATAAATGATGTGGAAGTATTTTCTTCCACCACTCTGAATAAGCTGTACATTTTTTAAGGAGTTGCAGAATTTATTGTATGTAAAATCTGTACTGCACAACCAAAATATGAAAAGGTAAATAATGCAAGAATGTAGAAAAATTTTAAAAATCCCTACACTAAATATCTAAACACCCTTATACAATATAAATATTTACACATTTGTCTTTTACACTTTTTGTGCATGTGTGTATGTGAGGGGGCACATTGTTTCTAAAGAGAATCACAGCTATTTTGTTTCTCTTTGAAAGCTGTAGTTAGTATCCAAACAAAAAGCAAACAAACTAAAAAATATTTCATATTTTAGGTAAACTTTGATCTTCAATTCATGGAGTATGGTTTCTCTTTATTCTATGGCCTTTGGTCAAATACAATATATAGATTATGTGAGTGGGTAAAATCAATAATCATATACTGAGGTTACAAAGAGCAATATTTTGATATTGAATATAGAGTCCTTTGCTGGCAGAAAATGTAAGAATTTTACAAGATTATAATAAATGATAATGTTTTCAACCTCAGTAACTGGTTATCTCTTCCAGGATCCCAACTAAAATTAACCCAGGAGTCCAATAGAGACAAAAAGTCAAAACTGTTGCTGGAGATATATATATATATATATATACATACATATATATATTTGAGAGTTCAAATCTTTCATATATGGATATATATATCTCTCCATCCAGCAACAATATATATAATATATATATTAGTGGATAGTTGAGATGTCAGTTCATGGATATAAAAATATATATGTTATATATATTTTTTATAGATATAATGAACATTTTAAGTAAGTGATGGAACTAACACACATTTTGTAGCACTGAAAAAGGTTAATAAAAAAATTTCTGTGTACTGTTAAGCGGCTCCTTGAACTGAATAATATTGGTATGCTATACATTTTAGATCAACTACTGAAATTGCTTTACTCCACTCTTAAACCTTACATTAATTAAAATAGAAAAAGATATTAAAAGATTTGAGAGTCCATCTCCATGTTTAAGATGTTATGACCTTGACAGAAACTCTGAAACTAATACAATAAATGTAATAAAGTAAATGATCAAAAAGTGTGGCAAAAGCAATAAAGGTTAAAATATTAACTCCAGAGTCAATACTCTAAAAAATGAAAAACAATGGAAAGCCATGGAGACTGTGGACATGTTTGGAAAGTTGCTGACAGAAGCATTGTTACTAATATAATGACTTCAATGAAGTACCGTTTTTGCTATTAAGAGCTATTACTTCATAATTTAATGGACAGTGATGTGATTAGTAAATGAAGTCACATCAGTGTTAATAATACTTTCAAATTTACCTACTTTTAAAAATTGCATTTTTTTTCCTCTGTGTACCCATCTGAACCTATCTAAACGATATTGAAAGTCATATCTTTTCTACAACACTCTTTCAGGTCAGTGACATCTCAGTTAACTATCCACTAGGGAATTGGAGATTTGGTTAATGGATTTTTTTAACCAGATGCAACATACCTGCCCGTATCACATAATCACAGTCTTTCTAGCAGATCTCTCATTATTTAATCATAAGGTGTTTAGCAGCTTAATCGTAAGAAATTTCCAATCTAAAGCTAATTAGTAAGCACATGTTAGAAGTTGAAGAGGCTTATAAAGTAAAAAGACATTTCTTCATGACGTCAGCACCATGAGCCAGATCTGCTGGACTCCTGTCCTTCCTCCTCCTTATGTCCTGCTCTGGCTTTCCCTCTTTCATCTCCAGGAGATGGGCTGGTGCTTCTCAATACTCAACCTAAATGGGACCTTTCATTCCAGTTCCTAAATTCTCCATGAAGATTCTTTCTGATGGATTTAAACCAAGGAATACAGGGTTTTTCTCAATATCCATGGAAAGTAAATCAGGGTAGCATATTAAGACTGATAACTTCAGTTCTAGCTACATCCATTAATATCATCATCAACGACAGATGATTTAAAATGTCTAGGGGATGAAGAAAGAAACTAGAAAAAAAAAACTCTTGACATGGAATCCTGTGACCATTTAATATGTTGGCTGAATAAAGTAAGACCATTTACTATATAAAGTATAATGGTGCCTATTATTTTTCATTGGATATGAAGTTAAAATGTGCCACTGAGCCAATAAAATGATACTCACGTTAATATAAGTAATTGCAGAATGATCCATCTAACAAGTAAAAAAGAAAAACTAGTTTGACTAAAATTTTAGTTGAAAATTATCCCATTTAATAAGAATATTTGAAACATTCTGATTCTATAGATATTTGTTTCTGAAAATATTGATCTGATTCAATAACAAATTTAGTTTTTTAAGTCTCTTAGTTAAGATTTTCAGGTTACATCAATATTCATTACTTTATTAACAATTATAACAAGTAATTGCTTGTCTAGCAACCAGGACACAAGACCTTGGGAAGAGATTTATCAAGAAGTAGATATAATAAGGGAATTAAAAAAATCTATTTTAAGGATGTAAAGGTGTTTGTCTAGGATCACAAATCCTCCACCAACTGCCCAACACGGCTAGAGGTTCCTGGGGGTGTCCACTGCTGAGCGGACCTGCTGAGTCAGTGCTTGCTTAACTCCTAACACTGGAGCCAGGCATAATCTGCTATCTCAGATACCTTGGCTAGAGCACTTGTGAAATGTAGGTACTCATTTGCCTCTCTGGCTTAAGACTTAAAAAAGAAGCAGGTGCAGTTGTCTGGCCTATTTTACTCGAGTTACATCATCATCAGAGTTCTCCGTTATCTGTTTATCACTTGGACAATGAAAGAAGACAGAAAATGAATGCAAGTGAGAGAAAATCCCCCTTTTCCCTGCTGAACAAATGAGTTCAAGCCCCTCACTTCATCTCTCCTTTCCCGCAGATCCCACACTGAACTCAAGGGAACTTTCAAGAATATGCACAGGGGCTAAAGCAGGAGAGACCAGTGGAAGGTAAACCCAGGTATGATGCAGTGTATGGAATGTGGGATGGGAGGGGGCAGAAAAAGAGTGTGTGAGATAGAAAGAGACACAGAGAAGCAGAAAGGGATGCTGAGAGAGGGAGCGAGAGAGAGAACAGAGAGACAGAGAAAGGCAGACACAGAGAAACAGGAAGACAGAGAGAGAAACAGAGACAGAGGCAGAGAAGGACAGTGCGTGTGCTAAAATACAAACGTATTCTCAAGCTCAAAAGACTATTCCAACCTGTTACCATTCCTAAACAGAAAGGCACAATTGGTGAGGGAAAAGGCATGAGGGAAAGAGATTTACTGATAAAATATGTTTGGCTTTTTCTTTACCACCACTGTTTCATTGCATTGATTATATTTTAATTAGAAAGGCATATACACATTTTGACAAAGTCAAACAATTAGTTTACAAATAAAAACAGTAAATCCCCTTGCTTCTTTGACCTCCAATTCCACCCCTCAAAGCAAATACTCTTAACTATTTGATGAGTCTCTTTCTAGTATTTGTTTATATGCTAGTAAAACTTGGGCGGCTAAATTCTGATGAGTATCACAGGGCAGACAGAAGGGGAGGAGAACTGCAAGAGAAACACGTGTTTCCAGCCCTGTGCCAGATATATTAAATGCATAGTAAACTCCATGAGGTCAGAGACCTCGTTAGTCTTGTTCTGATAAACCTCAAGCCTCAGAGCACCATCCAGGACAGAGTCAATACTTTAAAAATATTTGCAAAAAGAAGGAAGAGGGCTGGGTGCGGTAGCTCACGCCTGTAATCCCAGCACTTTGGGAGGCCGAGACGGGCGGATCACGAGGTCAGGAGATCGAGACCATCCTGGCTAACATGGTGAAACCCCATCTCTACTAAGAATATAAAAAAAAAAAAAAAAAAAAATTAGCCGGGCGAGGTGGCGGCGCCTGTATTCCCAGCTACTTGGGAGGCTGAGGCAGGAGAATGGCCTGAACCCGGGAGGCAGAGGTTGCAGTGAGCTGAGATCTGGCCACTGCACTCCAGCCTGGGTGACAAAGCGAGACTCCATCTCAAAAAAAAAAAAGAAGGAAGAGAAGGAGAGATGGTAAGGAGGAAAGAAAGGTAAAAGAAAGGAATGAGACGAGAAAAGAGGAAAAATCTAAAATGTTAAATTCTACCACAGCCCAACTGAACGAGTTTTATAATGCTGATTTTTGAAGATTACAACAGTGAGGCTTGGAGAAGTGAAGTAATTAGCCCAGAAGTCCATGCTGTTGCTACTAAAACAAGCTGCCCGTGGTAGGTACAAAGTGCTCTTAAGGAAGACCTGTTCTGGTGAGCTGCCATGAGGGAAGTGAAAGGCACACTCCAGGAAGACAACTTATACTTCTTTTATTCAATTTATTACTAAGAAACTATTTCATGCTATTGTGAGTAAAATTATTTTCTTAATTTTCAGATCATTTGTTGATATCATAAATGCAATTCATTTTTGAATACTGATCTTATATCCTGAGACTTTGCAAAAGATTCTGTTAATGTGAGAAGTTTTGTATGTGTGCATTCCTTAGAAATTTCTACATACAAGGCCATACCATCTGCAAATATAGGCAGTTTTACGTCTTTCTTTACAGTCACTATTCTGTTTGTTTCTTTTTCTTGCACAGACTAAAAACTCCAATAAAATTTTTGAATAGAAATGTGGGTATCTTTCTCTGTTCCCAACCACAGGGTGAGACCATTCAGCCTTTCACCAATATGAATAACGTTAGCTATAATTTTGGGGCAGATGGTTTTTATTACTTGAGAATGTTCCTCTCTATTTTTATTGTCATTGAGAGTTTCTATCATGAATAGAGATTGAATATTGTCACATGATGTTTCTGGACCTTGGTGCTATGTGATGAGACTGCATCTTACTTAAACTTTGGCAGTAGCTGACTTCCTCTGAGACCACCGCAGTAGGGGAAGAGGATACATCATCTCATGGTTTCCAGGTTTCTCACTCTGTCTCTGTTGACTCCCAGGTTGGGTGGGGTGGGGGAGACTCCTTGTTACTGCTGGGTGGGGATGGGATTTTCCGTTTCCCTCTAGGCCTCACCTGGCACTTCCTCTGCTGGGAAGGGTGGCAGTGCCATGTGGGTGCTCCCCTATGGCCTCCAGTGCCACAATGGAAGGAGAGGCCTGGCCCCTAGCCACACTCTCTGTACCACCCTGGTGGGGTTGGCGTGCTTTGTTACAGTCCCAGAAAGTCTTGACTTCTGGGGCTGTGATGTTTGACTGGATTCGAGCAGTTACTGTATAACGTTTTCTGTTGTGTTAGGACGTCTCTTTCCAGATTCTTTTATTGGCAGAAGAGAATTTTTCTGGCTTTGAAGAGGCTTTTAAAAATCAATTAACTTATTTTCACCACGCTCACTGACATCTCAAGGTTGCCAGCTGCTTCAGCCCCAACTTGGCATAAAAAAGGCAAAAGAAAAGTCAAGGAACTCACCTTGTGCTGTTTCTCAAGATCTCCTGCCAGCCTGCCTTCTCTTCCTCACCTTTTGCAATTGTCTCATGTTTGTTTTACAGATGATGTTCAGGGATTTTAGTTATACTTAGTGGGAAGAGTAAAGAAAAGTACAAATTTTAAAAAGTACATCTACTTCCTGTTTAAGCTTTTCTAATTATGAAACGATTATTTTATCCTAGTAAGATTTCTGGTCTTAAAGGTATATTTTGTGATACTAATTTAAAGTGCTAGGTCGGTTACGGTTACAGTAAAGTTTAAGCTACTTTTTGTTTCATTTTCTTAATGGTTGTTCAAGGGGTTATCATATATATCTTAGATTATTATAATCTATTTCAGATAATTACTTTATTTTGGTAAAATGTAGCAGGTTTGCTCCCATATGGTTTTATTTTCTACCCTTTCCTGTGTCCAATTATCATCATTTATATCATATAAATAATTGTTATAAACCAGCAAATACTCTTAATGTTATTGCTTTTAAATTTATTTTTCATTTTATTTATTTATGTATTTTATTTTGTTTTCTTTTTATTTTATTTTTTGAGATGGAGTTTTGCCCTTGTTGCCCAGGCTAGAATGCAGTGGCACGATCTCGACTCACCACAACTCTGCCTCCCGGGTTCAAGTGATTCTCCTGCCTCAGCCCATTGAGGAGCTGCGATTACAGGCATGCACCACCATGCCCAGCTAATTTTACATTTTTTAGTAGAGACGGGGTTTCTCCATGTTGGTCAGGTTGGTCTCAAACTCCCGACCTCAGGTGATCTGCCTGCCTCAATCTCCCAAAGTGCTAGGATTACAGGTGTGGAAAAAAAAAGTTTTAATTAAAAAAATAAAGGAGAAATTACACATTCACAAACCCATATACACATCTATACATGTATTTTCAGTTCTCCCCATACATGATAGTTGTGTTCTATAATGTCACTGCAAACAATCAGTTAGTGAATACTGAACTGTCGCTTCTAGGGAAAATTATGATTATGTTTCTTTGACACTCTGGTCCCGACAAACTTTAGTCAACCAATCAATATTTAATCTTGTTTATGTGTGTTTCTGTTTAAACACACCTTATTTAATATACTGTATATTGTCGGTTCATTAACATTGAACTTATAGCCAATGACACTATAACTCATACATGAATGAAGCTGATGTAATATACGTATTTTCTCTGTAAGGCATACTACAGCCTTCTTATACTTAGGAATGCTAGACAGTACTTCATCACTATGCTTGAGGGCCATTGTCAGCAACAAAATCACCAAAAAAGGACAAAAATATGGTACTCAATAGACCATAAAAAAGATACTTGTTTATGGTAGTACAGTGAAATAAAGCAGAGCATTGCCTTGGCCTGAACTCCAGCAAAGACTGTGTACATTGAGTGACTTTGACTTTTTACTGCTCTGTGTATGCCTCTGAATGACTGCAAAAGCCCTGAGTATTGATTCTGGAGTTGTAAATAAATTTCAGTGAGTACGTGAATACACAAATACAGAATCCATAAAACCTTAGGGTTCATACACACACATAATATTTTCTATTTAAACACATACTTTTCAATGGTGATCTTCATTACTTTCTGTGTATCTGAGATACTATCTAGCGTTATTATTTCCTTTCATCCTGTATCTTCCTTCATCTAATACCTTTACGCACTTTTACTTGTGTCATTATGAAACTCCTATTATATGCATGTTGACACACAAAATGGTGTCCTATAGGTCTCTGAGTGTTTATTTGTCTTTAATCTTTTTTCCTCTGTTCTTCAGATTGGACTCTTTCCAATGATCTATCTTCAAGGGAAAGTATTTTGTTCTATCATCCCAAGTTTGCTGTTGAGGCTCCCTTGTGATTTTTTAACTTCAATTGTATTTTTCAACTCTAGAGCTTCTATTTATTTCTTTTTTATAGTTTCTACTTTTCTGTTGAGAGTTCACATTTATTGATTTCATATTTACTTTTTATATTTTATTTAACATTTAATCATAGTTTCTTTTAATTTGTACATGGTTGTACTAATAAATGTTTGCCTGATTTTCAGCACATCTCAGATTTTTTTTTGAAAGCTAAACATTTTACTTAATACACAATACTCAATATTTATCTTTATTTTCCTGAGATTTGTGGGGTTTTTTCCCCCTCTTCTTTTTTTCCTCTGTGGAATCCATCTCCCTTGCTCCGTTGACTATGTGGCTACTGAGGACTCAATGTTTTTCAATCTTTATTTTTTTTACCTTAGCTTCCTAGTGACTGCTTCTATATATCATAATTTATAGCTCAACCAATGATTTTGGCACACACCGTGCTCAAACACTTCTAACTGTAAGGATTACCCCCTTACCAATCTGTGTGGAGGGCATAGAGTGGATTCAAGGTTCAATCATTTTTCAAGTCTCCCTTGGCTTTTATTTTTCACCTGGCCCTCGCCTGTCAAGCACATTAGCTTGTGATGTACAAAGAGCCTAATTGGCCCTTCCATGGCTCTCTCATGTCCAGAATCTTCCACATTCTATTATTGGGTAGTGTATCATTTACCCCAACAGATACTACAATCTCGGGCTAGCAAAGTGGTGGGTTTTCCCTGCTTGTTTTCAACAGTTAACAATACCACAAAGTTTATTGCCTTGCTCCAAATCGAGTCAGCTCCCTTTGCCTGAAAAGCTGCTGCTTTTCTGGCTGAACTTATGCTGGTAAAACTTTTTTCACTTACTGATTTGTGGAGAAGGGGGAAACAATTTCAGGCAGAAAGGCAAGAGACTACTGCTCTTCTTACTCAAATCTCTACCATGTATGATTTTTTAAGAAGAAAGATGATCAATTTGTTGTCTGTTTTTAGTCAATTTACAGAACTCTGAAATTGTTGCATTTGACAATTGTATATGTTTTTGTTCTTCTTTGTGTAAAGAAAATTAACTATCCCTTGATAGCCAGAAGTCTCTCCCTCAATCATTACACAACATAAATTTTACATACATGGAAAACAAGGTTAGAGAAATAAGTAATTTAATGGACCTTGGTTGGAATTTTACTTCTCCTAATTCCCTGTGCTATGTTCATTTCACCAAAGCTTGCTGCCATCTCAAAATGATGTATTATCCTGTTTTCCCTCTCAACTTACTAGAAAGGCTGATTTATTTTATGTTTTCCAGTGGCCACAAATTTACATTTCTAAAAAGTAAGAAATATACCATAGCATACCATACTAGTACCTTAAAATAAAAAATAAATACTTTTTTTAGAGTAACTGGGTGATTTTTCTTTAAAAATAAACATATAAAAACAGCACATGAAGCATTTTGTCGTCTAATTCAATATTTTGCTTTTGATTGGCTGCTTCTCCAAAAGAATATTGGTTTCTCAATGTCATTTTTTCTAGTTTCTCAGCTGCAGACTTCAAATATTGCATTAGGTGCTGACTATATAGTAATAATCTGCTTGATAGCATCTGTGGTTCACACTGGAATTGTATCCAGAATCAGACATTATTTCTTTACCTGATTTAAGCAAAAATAAGCCTAGCTAGGTTTCATGCATTGTGTATCAGTATAAATAAATAATATGCCTTCTCAATAAACCTCTTCTTACTTATCAGGTAGCCAGATAAACAGAAAAAGGTGCCATGACTCCAGCTGATATGTCAATCTCCTTATTTATACATGGAGAGGAAATAAAGTGTACTCCTTTCAACAGTCAATGTCAAATTTGATCATTTCTGACTCCAGCTAAGCACTGAATATCAGATAATTTCTCTAACTGAATGTTTATATTAGAAGAGGTTACCTGAACAGATAAATGTTATAAATAGTAAAAATGTATATATTGTCTTTGGATGGGGAAAATATAGGACTCATTTTTATTTCAAACTAAGAACATTTCGAATCTTTCGGGATGTTTGGGTATTATAATATTCATTACAATCATTGTGTTCTATATTCATGGTGAGTTACAAATGACGAGCTCTTTGCATCTTCTTTTGTGAGAAAATGAGGTCTATTTCCCCATCCCTTGACTGTGGGCTGGCCCTGTGACAAGCAGAAGGTAGCATGAGTGATACTGTGTGACTGACAAGCATTGGCCACAAAAGGTCTTCCAGTTTATAATTTCCCCCTCCGTTAATGCTATCTGTCATTGTGTGAACAAGTCCAGGCTGGGTTCCACGAAGATGATACACCAAGTAGAAAAACAGGCCTCTTGGGGGAGACATTCCATCAGTCTCAGCCATTTCAGATGTCAACGTTAGGACTCAACTATCAGTGACACCCTCCAGAAGCAGCTACACCTCCTTTAGACCCTAACTGACCACAGTGAGCCTGGACCACTCTGCAGGGAGCAAGAAATAGATCCTCTTGAGCCCAGACCAAGTTGTCAACTAAGAACTGTGGGCAACAAAATGGTGGTGGTTTTGGGTCAGGTTTTGGAATCATTTATCCCATTAGAAATGGATAACTAATATGATTTGTTTCATAGAATAAATTCAAACATGCTTTTCAAATGCTTTGAGCATTCAAACAAATACATACACACACACACACACACACACACACACTCCTACAACAACCACCACAAGGAACAACAACTTAAAAATTAACCATAATTCATGCTTATAATGTGTAGTCAACATCTCTTAGTTCAGATTCAAAACTTAGAAATTTAGGTGTCAGAAATAATAGAGTAACAAGTAACAACCTTCTAAAAAATGACTGGGATGCACTTAAATTCTCTTTAAAATGAGTCAAATACCTCCTAAGCAGTTATGTGAAAGGGGATAACTTTGTATAATAAAAAGGCCTCAGGCCTTGAAGTAAAATAAACTCAGCTGAGACACCAGCGTTGCCAATCACTGGCTCTGGGAGCTTGCTTCTACTAGGTCTGCTACTTAATATCCCTATCTCCTTATTTGTCAAAATGAAGATAAATGTACCTACTTCAGAGGGTTAGTGTAAGACATAAAGATGTGATATACAGAATATACCTAACATTGTATCACATGCTAATATATATCACTTTCCTTCCCTGACCCTGATATTTACCCTTAGGGCTGAGAAAATATTGGAAGCTCTCTCTACATAACCCATTACAAGTATACACTTCAAAGAGCTAAGGAAAGAAAGCGAATATTTATACAAAATGTGTAAATGAATATAAAATATAATGTAAAGATACATACATGTAAATAAATTAAAAACATAAAGTATGTAATCCCATAAAATGTACAAATGAATATTGATGATAGCTCACAACTTTTTAGCAATACTTGTAAATAATGAATATATTAGACTAATAAAAGTGTTTACTCTTAAAAACAGCTCAGGAACAGCAGATGGCGTGGCTGTAATTTGGATCCTAATCCAAGGCCTACTCAAATCACAGCAGGAACCAGGTAAACTGATCAAGATTTTCCCTAAAACACACAAGGGGAATGGAGAATAGGAAAATCCCACAGCACACTAACAAATTCCATAGCAGCGGACATACCTGTCTGCGCTTCTAATTTGTGTTCTTATCTTTGCCCAATTCTAGGTATCTCTTGGGCATTTGTCTAAGGAAAAAGCAGTACCCCCTGTGTTGAAGGTGAGTTCTTCAGTGTAATGAGACTGCTTTGAAAACCAGACACCCAGGAAGAATGGGGAATACGTGTCTGAACAACGCCAAGATGCCTCCTAGACACCATGCTCTGTATTTCTAGGCAGTTGTGTCAATCAATTGTTCTTGAACATTTTTCACTAATATGAAAATCCAGACACTTATATTTTTTATAGAATTAAGGAAACACGAAGGTCTGGATTTTTTATATAAATCTATATTTACACAAGGGGACTCAAATTACATAGAAATGTTCAGCATACAGTTTTACAGAGGATCAAAATGGTAGAGGTCTTCCAGTGTTATATTTTTATAATATTTTAATAAACATCATTTATTAATCTGCAAAAAAAGTGCAGTCAAAAATCCATTGAATAAACTTTATATAAAAACTGCATTATAGAAATGAGATTTTTACAAATATTTAACAGCCCTTCTTACTTCAACACTAAACTCTGAAGATTATTCTTAGCTTTTAAAACGTTTTCACATATACTCTAGACATATAGCCAGACGTTTATGCTAATTTATGCATATTGTAGAAATGCAAAAAATACTAATTAGCATGAAAATTGCCATGAATAGAAACGGGAAATATATTTTATAATGGGAATTTAGATGTATCACAAGTTGATAAATGTGTTACCTATTTAAACATCCAATTTGAGCACAGAAAGGCTTGCATATATATTGCACAATTTACATCATTAAAACAATTTATCTCCCCAAAATATTGGTCTGTACTTTATAAATTATCATCTACAAAGAAAGTATATATTCTTGCCTGCTGAATTATCAATATATTCACAGTAAATTCTTTATAAATAGTCAGATAGTCAGTTATTTCATCTTAATCATTGATATTCCTTTTTACTATTCTTGCTGCCTTTAAAAACACAAAGAAGATTAAGTACAACTTCCTGCATTCCTCTCATGGGAATATTATGTTTTAGAATCTGTTCACTGGTTAGGAATCTAGATAATAGCATTTGAAGCACAGTCAAAAAAAGTTTATAGCTGTTTATTTGTAGCTCTAATAAAACATCTGCCTGCTCTTTTAAAATTAGTAATTTCCTACTTAATGTACAGTTCATACAATATTTTAGACACATTGAAACTTAAAAATAAATACCAATGCAGCACCACTGTTTTAAGATGCTTGATAAGTATGTTGGAGATTTTTAATTTAAATGCATGTCAGTTTATGCCTCCAGGCCACGTAAAGAAAAGATACTGAATTTCTGATAGTTGAAGAGTGGAAGAAAGAAAATATCCAACGTTTCTTTGCCCACGTTGGATGTGGTTTCTATTATTGTTTCTCTAACTCTCTCAGATATTCCCACTAAATCTTAATTTTCTTTCTTTGCCAATGAAACCCCGCCTTTGTAAATTTCAAAATAACTGGGAGAAAAATTTGGAATGTTCTCAAGACAAAGAAATAATAAATGTTTGAGGGGGATGGATACTCCAACTACCCTATTTGATCCCTACACAATTTTTTTTTTTTTTTTTTGAGATGGAGTCTAACTCTGTCGCCCAGGCTGGAGTGCAGTGGTGCCATCTTGGATCTTGGCTCACTGCAACCTCTGCCTCCCAGATTCAAGCGTTTCTCCTGCCTCAGCCTCCAAGGAGCTGGGACTACAGGCATGTGCAACCAGATCATTACACATTTTAGGAATGCAACAAAATACTATATGTACCCCAAAAGGACAACATTACATATAGAGTAAAAATTATTTAAACAGCAAAATCGATGTGACTGATTCAATTTCTTTATCTCCTAGGCATGATGATCTCCAAAGTGTGCAGGTGATTTATACGGTTCAGAGAAAAACTCTTAGGGTGACCCACTGGGATACAGGGAGGAAATATTAAGCCTCTACTCATTTCATCTGAAGCGTAAGGTACCAGGAAGCTTCACTACTACATGAAGCACAGTTTGACTGGGCCACATCCACTTGGTTCATGTGTCAACTGGGTTCAGACCTTTCCTGGTGCAGAATGTTCCAAGGGAAGCATGTGAGTGCCCATGGCAAGGGGCTGTTCACTGGCTCTGTTGCTGCACTTGTCTGTTTCCTTAAAGTTTACAGTTTAGGTGCATCCGTGTAAGAGGATTTAAAAGATTGTGCAATTTAATTTCAGTCAAATCGATCCCTACAAAGCAATTACTAGTTATAGAAAATTCCTGAAAAGGAATTATAAAAGGTAAGACTAAAAGAATACTGAAAAGAAACCATAAAAGGTAAGACTAAAAGATTCCTGGAAAGAAACCATAAAAGGTAAGGCTAAAAGTGGAAGCCCAGGCAGGGCTGATAGATCCTCCACCAGGAGGGACGAGGGCAGCTCACAGACCAGAATCTGCTCCCACCAGTATGGTATCCATTCCAAAATTTGAGCACTGTTTGGATTGGTTATTAGAGATGTTATGACACAAAAGGGACAGAACTTGATCCACTACAGTTAATGAGAAACTTCATCAGCTCCACATTAAACTAAGTGGCAATCTGGTCTTCATCAGATCTGCTACAGAATCAACAAAACACTGTCACTAATAGAAACATGGATTTATGCCCAAGATTATAAACAATAATAGGGCCCTAAGTGTATATTATGTTGTGAGTTATTATTATGATTGTAGGAATCATCACATTTATCACACAGAGCCTGTGCTGTGATTATTAAAAATAAGCACATAGAGCATGAAGACAGATATCTATGATTTTTTTTTGGCAATGCTTACAAAATTTTGTTAAATCTTTATGTTAAATGTCTACAAGTGTCATTTATGGTTCACTAACATTATCGTCCTATATGTGTATCACTTGTAAATATTCTTAAATTTATAATCAAAAGGAACATATGATTTTTATTTTTTATTTTTTATTTTTTTGAGACGGAGTCTTGCTCTGTCACCAGGCTGGAGTGCAGTGATGCAATCTCAGCTCACTGCAATCTCTGCCTCCTGGGTTCAAGCAATTCCCCTGCCTCAGCCTCCCAAGTAGCTGGGACTACAGGCACGTGCCACCACGCCCAGCTAATTTTTTATATTTTAGTAAAGACGGGGTTTGACCATGTTGTCCAAGATGGTCTCGACCTCCTGAACTTGTGATCCACCTGCCTCGGCCTCCTGAAGTGCTGGGATTACAGGCCTGAGACCCCATGCTCGGCCAGAACATACAATTCTTTTAAAATGTTTGGAACACTGTTCTATACCACTGATGATGAAATAACTTTGATGTAAACAAGGTGACCTTGTTAAGAGTAAAGATTCCTGGCCTACCCTGGGAGAATTCTGGTACAAATCATCAGACGATCCCACCCTGAGGAATGTTTTTATTGAACAAACTCCTAATTTGTCCCTTTCTTTCTCTCCTAGTTACAGCACGTTTGTTTTCAAGAAGAATTGAAAAGAAAAATGCATCTAGTGGTGCATTATTCCAATGTCTGTTGCCATTTTTCTACTGGAAGTCATAGAAGTAAGGAAGGGGTACGATAAAGAATGGCATGCTGGCAGAGACCTAACCAGGGTGATTGGAATGGAAGAAACACAAACAATTTGGCTTCCCCAAATGCTGCTCTCTGCAGGAACTTATCACCATTACAGGAGCAGGTGGCTCTTTCCAATGCTCCCATCACTCTGTAGAATTTGGTTGGGAATCTCATGAGTAGATAACAATCATTTTCAAATGGTAGAAAGCCAGCACACACAGGAGCATGTACAATAGTTCAGAGTCATACTGGGTTCTGGCTACTTTCCTTTGGAAGATTGCTTTTTCCCGTGTGTATTAGAAAATACTTAAATACGGGGGTTGTTTTTATTTTTTTAAAGATAATGTTTAGTTTTAAAAGGTTAATTGATGGCCATTACGGGAACATCGAAGAGTTCTGCTCCCTTTTATGCCACCTGTCTCTGCCGAAATGGCAATGGCCTTGGACAATTATGTGAAATCAAAGAGTTTCATTTTGAAATTGAAAAATAATTTATAGATTTAAAAAATAGACTTATGGCATTTAGCCCAACTAGGAAACTAAATTTAGAATCAATTGCACAGCGCTTTGAAACAATGCAGGATGATAAAACATAAGCTATTATGATACAAAAAGGCGAATGTTTGTGCAACTCAGCTTTATTGTGTAATTATCTTCTGGTAGCAGACTTCCCAGAAAAGGCTGCATGAGCTGGGCAAGTCACTGGGCCTTGGTTTGCTTATTTTTATGTTGATAATAATAAAACACTCAACCCACAAAATTGTTGTAAAGATAAAAATGAAGTCATGTTTATGAAAGGATTCTGATGTATGTTTAAAGCCCTACAGAAATATTACTTTTACATATACATAAAATGAGAAGATTGAAATTTTTTACATTTTAAAAATAATTTTGAATGCCATAGATCTGTTATAGCTCTATTACAGAAACCATTGAACTTAAAATTAAGAGACTTGCATATTAGTAACCAACATACATTTTGCTAACTATGGAACTCTATATAATTAACATCCTTAGAGTTCTCATTTATGAATATTTCCTTCCTAAGTTACAAATATATAACTGGCAGTAAACCTTATTATACATTATTCAAATTTCTTGAAGTTCTCCAATGCTCCTGATTATTTTTGAAATTATTCTTTAAAAAAAACATTGGGGAAACTCTGAGGACGTTAGCGTGGGTGAAGGCTTCTTGAGCAATACCCTACAGGCACAAGCAACCAAAGCAAAAAGGACAAATGGGATGACATCAAGTTAAACGGTTTCTGCCCAGCAAATGAAAAAAATCTACAAAGTGAAGAGACAACCCACAGAATAGATGAAAATATGTGCAAGCTATCCATCTGACAAGGGATTAATAACCAGAATATATAAGAAGCTCAAACAGCTCTATGGGAAAAAATTGAATATGATTTAAAAATGAGCAAAAATCTGAATAGACACTTCTCAAAAGAAGACATACAAACGGCCAACAGGTGTAGGAAAAGGTGCTCAATGTCATTGATCATCAGAGAAATATAAATCAAAACTACAATGAGATATCATCTCACCCCAGTTAAAATGGCTTTTATCCAAAAGTCGGGCAATAACAAATGCTGAAGAGGATGTGGAGAAATGGAGAAAAGGAAACCCTGGTACACTTTTGTTGGGAATGTAAATTATTACAACCACTATGGAGAACAGTTTGGAGGTTTCTCAAGAAGAACAAAAATAGAGCTAGCATATGATCCAGCGATCCCTCTCCTAGGTATATACTCAAAAGAAACAAAATCAGTATGTTGAAGAGATGTCTACACTCCCACATTTATTGCAGCACTATTCACAATAGCCAGATTTAGAAGAAACCGAAATGTCCATCAACAGACGAATGGATAAAGAAAATGTAGCACTTTTATAAACCATGGATTACTATTCAGCCATAAAAATAAATGAGATCCTACCATTTGCAACAACACAGATGGAACTGGAGGTCGTTATGTTAAGTGAAACAAGCCAGGCACAGAGAGACAAACGTCGCATGTTCTCACGTATTTATAAGATCTAAAAATCAAAACAATTAAACTCTTGGAGACAGAAAGTAGAGGGATGGTTACCAGAGTCTGGGAAGGGTTGTCAGAAAGGTGGAGGTGGTAGTAATGGGTACCAAAAAAATAGACAAATAAGACCTAATATTTGCTAACACAACAAGTGCTAGTAAAAAATTTTATTATTTTTATATTTCATTAAAATAATTTAATTATTTTAAATGTATGAAATTATTTTTATAGTAAAAAATAATCTCATTATACATTTTAAAATAATTAAGACTATAATTGGATTGTTTTTAGCACAAAGGATAAATGCTTGAGGTGATGGATACCCCATTTACCCTGTTGTGACTATTATGCATTGCATGACTGTATCAAAATATCTCATGTACCCTATAAATATATACAGCTTCTATGGATCCAAAATTTTTTTTAAAAATAAAACTCATGTAACCCATAAATACGTACACCTACTATGTACCTACAAACATTAGAAATAAGCAAATCAAATAATTATTTAAATATTACTACATTGCTTCCATAATTGCATTAAGAAGCCTTATCCCAAGAACATGAATAGATTAATGTATAATGAAAACATGTGATCTTTGATCAAGAATAGTATTTTAACGAATGGTGATTATTTGCTCAGAACAAAGGGTTCTTAAATTTATTCGTGCCCAGTTATGAAGATAAGGCTTTAAGGACACTGTGTCATGGCAAAATTTACAACATTTTTTGGCTGAACATATTTTGGATCTACCAACATTCTATCATACATTTTATATCTAAGTAACATCTAAACCTAAGTCATCATAATTCCTGTGTGCATTTTTCTGTGTTCACCCATTCTGCATCAGAAATCGCATGCATATTGCTCTCAGTATTACCCCGAAATATGTTCTATAAAGATCAACACTGACGTTCCACAGTAGCAGTGACACACAACATGTGCACAGCACAGACACATGGGATACAGTAATCAGAATCTTTGTCAACTCCACTGCTGAAGTACTTTTGTCTCTAGTTACTAAAGGAAGAAAGAGAATCATAGACAAGTTTATCGTGAGACTGAAAAGGAAGCCAGTACTAAGGAGTATTAGAATTTAAAATGTGACTCATGCTTTTTACATTGCTTTCTCTTCCACACACACACACAAAAGTTATTTTGTAATCAGAATCCACCTTTTGTTTGAATTTGTGCATTCTTAGCCAAGTCCATCTATTTCATATATATATTTAACTAATGCATTCATACCAGAGCTTTGTGTCTTTTTTTGGTAATAGAATTTGTCTAGTAAAATATTTGGCTCTTGTTTAGAATATTTTATTTATAGTAAAGAAAAGCCTTGTGAAGGATTGTAGTACCATGAAATTCAAAAACTGCATTAGCATTAGTTCAAAGAGAGAACTGCTATTTCAGAAGCCAATATTCCATGATGTTAAAATTAGTTTGTAGCATTTGGAGAAGAAACAAACATGTTACAAAACATTCTTGTATCAAAAATAATGCATATTACAGTCAGCTCACTATACACAAGGTGGTGGAGACAGAAGTTAGGATTTTGGCACCAAAAGGAGCCCCACAGGATTAAAGGGAAAATAAATCTTTAATTAAAATGTCATTAGGGTTAATACTTTCTCTATGTGGACCAATAACTAGAGAATGAAGAAACTCACCAAAAAAAAAAAAAAATTAGTTGGACCTAATGGGCCATCCAAGAGGCGGCTGTGGAGCCCCCCTGCACAGATCACATATCCTGTCTCTTAATCTCCAACACCCATCTGCAGCTGGATATAATGGTTCACAGTGTAAGATGAAAGTATATTAGTTGTCTGATGATTTACGATGACTTCCATTAATTAATTTAAAATAAATTGAAAACACCAAACAGGTAAATTGATACACTAAAGTAGATCATTGTTTCTGGGTCCGAAAGTTAACATTTCTTTCCCTTCTCCAAATTACTCTGTGTTTATTTTCTCTAAACCCAGAACACCACTGCTCTGAATCTTTATTTTAGTTCTTCTGCCATGAAAACTGAAATATGACGCCCATTGCTTCCTCCTGCTGTTTCCCAATTGCTCTAAGCCAGGTGTTGCGACCGGCCTTCAGGAAGCTGGCTTCCTGGTACACTTTTTCCCCGTAAATCTGCCCAGATGATGTTCTTTCTCCATGCACCTTTCTGTCCCAACCACCCACACCTCAACACATCAGCTCAAAAACACACCAGAAACCACCCCAACGCTTCTCTGGTGTCATATTTGGAGCAGGTGTGTGCCGTTCACCTCTCTCAGCCACTGACATTACAGCCTCCATTTAGTACCATACCCAGACCCCACTCTGACACGCTGTCATTTCACATCTTTTTTCACCCAAAGATCTCCAAACCAGCTGTACTATTTAAATCATAACACACTTTAAAGCTGAACAATATTCACAGTTTTTATCCTGTTTCCTTCATTGTTTCTACTGCACTTTTTCTCCAACAGCCACTTCTTTCTTCCCTACGATCCAATCAGTCAGGCACTTGGATGACATTCCTACAACTTGTATCACCTTTTCCTACCCAGGATGTGAGTCACAGCAAAAAGTCCCTGGACATCATCCCAATACTTAAATTACTAATGCCTTCAAAGCTTTGTCTTTTTCTCCTTAAGACCTTTTCAAAAGCAGATAAAAATCCTCTTTCTGAATGACTCTACCCACCGAATTGTTTCTGATGATGGTGTTGTTTTACCTTCAGGTGCTTAAATACGTGGGACAAATGATTACAGGCGTTACCATGCTATTATTGTGCCTATTTTATACCGAGTAAGGCATGCATTTACCCGGAGTCCCAGAGGCAACTACAAAGAAATGATAAAAATCCAAGCTCCTTGCCTCCCAGCTCTCTGACAGCCTTGTAGGATGCGCTCTATTTGTTTCCACAAAAGGCACACACCTTATTTCATAAATAACTATAAAAGTCAAAATGTTGGTGCTAGTAGTGGGAGTAGTGGGCAGATATAGGTTTCTGTTGTCCTTTTTCTAAAATTACCATATTTGAGGACTTTATTTAAATAATTTCTGGGCCTCAGTATATTTTTCTGCAAGATAAGCAAGTCAGCTCAGATAGTCTCAAGAGACCTTTCTGCAAACAGCCTATCCATGTATAGCTGGTTCCTTATATGTGTAGTCAAAATCTCAAGCAAGATCAGGACATTAGCAGCACAGATGGCCAGGGTTAGCCACGTCATGTCTTACCATGAAGCAGAGCGAAATCTTGGTTCATACGGATGCAGATCTCCACTGTGTGGCCGCAGTGTCTTGCTTGACAAATGCAAATGTGGTTCCAAATCACAGGACACATTTCCTGCAGATAACTGGTCTTCAACCCGGACTTCATCTTGGGTCATCGGGGGAGCTTTTACAGAATCCTGATACGTGGAATCTCATCCCAGTTCAATTCAGTAAGAATTTCTTAGGTGTATTTTACAAGGTTCACAGGTAACTTTTGTGGAGCCAGGGTTGGGAACCAGTGTCACATACTTTACATGTGTTCTGGAGGGAGGCTCACCCCAGTCTCCTCTGCTGCTATGGACCAGCTCGAAGTAAAGCAAGTAAGTCTCCATCACCTCCTGCCCGTAGGCCAGTCCCTCACTCGGAGCCCACAGTGGATGTCGGCAGTCCTTGCTCTTTCATGTGGAGCTGTGGAAACTAAGATCCTCTTAAATGTCTTCCAAAAGCTCCCGCGCATGTGGAGGGTAATGTCCCATCTTCTTCCCAGGCACAGTGTTCCATGGCTCCTTTTCATCTTCCTCTTTTGGACTATACCAGTATTCCAGCATTCCAGACCTTTTAGAAGTCTCTAACCAGAAGCAGCTGCCAATTTATGGAAATACAAATGTCCCCATACTCCAGGAGACACATGCTCTTCTAGACATTTATGCCAAGGCAGACCTGTTAGCTCAGCAGCCTTCTCATAGGGCAAAAAGATGCCAGCTTCCCATTTTGGCAAGTGAACTCATTCTCTGGGGTAATTCTCCTGGTGTGGTTCAAAATATTCTTTCTTCCCCCTAAAGTTAGGAGAGGAAAATGAGTTCCTAAGCAAGCTTCTTTGTATCTATTTATTTTTAATTGACAAATTATATATATACATATATATGTATTATATATTATCTAATTCTATTAAATACATATTTATTATACAGCATGTTGTTTTGAAACATGTATACACTGTGAAATAGCTAAATTGAGCTAATTAACATATGTGTTACCTCATATGTATCATTTTTGTGGGGAGATGATGTAAAATCTATTATCTCGGCAATTTTTAAGAATGCAACACATTCTTATTAGCTATAGTCACCATGTCATGCAAGAGATCTCTTGAACTTAGTCCTCCTAACTGAAATTTTGTGCCCTTTGACCAACATCTCCTCACCCCTGGGGTCCCCAGCCCCTGGTCATCTCCTTTCTACTCCCAACTCCAATGAGTTCAGTGTTCAAGGAGTCCTAAGACTCACTCAGCTCTCGCTCCTTCCCTCAAATTCTCTGCCCATAAGGATGTGTTTGTAGTGCCTGTGGCTGCCTCTGAATGAGCTTTAAGGAGTAGCTGGCCCCACTTTTTTAGCTCTCTTAAGGATATAGGAATACTAAATGCCTTTTATTGCTCCAGTTTTGATTCAGATGCTAATTCTGAGGAAAGAGGAACACCGCCCTCAACATCCTGTTAAACATAAAGATCTTTTACAAAACTGATGCTTTTCACTATAACATCGATTTTAATCGAGTTGCTGTAAAATCTTGCCTAAGACCCACCCACCTTTGTGTTATTTTACACTATTGTAATCTAGAAAAGGAAGAGAATTTAGATGATAGTTAATGCCCTTATTTTAGGGGCATAAACTATCATCTACTTCATGATACTTGATGAGATTCAAAAATGGAGAAATAATTTGCCAAAATTATATAGTAGCAGAAATGGGAGCAGTACACAAATATGTATCTCCCAACGCAAGGTTCAGCACACTCCCCATAATGCAGAATAAAGTGGTCTTGAGCCCAAACATATCAGGAAAACTTTCTTGTAATCAGAGAAAATAATGTTTTATCAGATTCTAAATAATGTATTAGACTCTGCTGGGTGTGTCTTCAGGTTCTCTTAGGAAATGGTTACTTCTTATTTTGGAAAAAAGTATCATGGGTTAATGTCAAAAACAGACACAAGTAATTGTAACTCATATGGCAGTGTTTACAACATCTGTCTGTTTTGATATGGAAAAAAGAAGAAACAAAATTTCCTCTCTGCGTAATTTTTTTCATATATGTATAGAAGATTTGCCTATGTTCAAATATGTGTTTTGGTATTTTCTTTAGATAAATCCATGAAAAATTCAGTTTAATAACTTATAATCAAGTAACATTAAACTTTTTCTACTTTTTGTCACTTAGTCTTATATAATTTGTACACTTAGAGCTAATCACTATTAAAACTTATTATTTTAAACAAGAAATCTATCATGGTTTTGTAAGTCATACATCAACCTGTTTTCACCACAAGGTGTTGCAAAATAATTGACTACGTTAGCAAAAATGTAAATCTGATAATAGCACTTCTTTTCAGGTAGAAATACAGCAACTATATTGATTGCTTGTGTTTACATCACACGATGCTAAATTCAATACTTAGCACTCAAAGCAGGAGCATAAGATGAGAGCAAAGGGGAATATGTGGGCCAAGTTTCTTTCTCTTCCATGAAAGTCTCCCTTTTAAATAATTGACAGGATGTAACCTGTGGAACCAGATGGTCTTCCATTTCACAGAATTCTGTTGATCTTCCAAGCATTAGCAAGCAGGTGACAAAGCTGAGTATGATTTAAATCTTCAGATCGAAGATGAAAAGAATGTCATCAGAAATATGGTGTGCAAAACATATGTGACATAAGTTTTAAAAAATTGACACCTGATGAGCACTCATGCACGTAGAATTATGTAAATATAAAAATAACTTTAAATATCCTCAGTTTAGTTTAAATAGTCATTGCAACAGTTGTTTTTTAAAATATCCCAATAGATGGGAAATGCAGAAGCCCCTCTTCTTGGCAAAAGCTGATTTTGCAACAATTCTTTAAGGATAGAGTCTGGGGTTTTAATTGTCTGTGTATCAGTTGGACATCTATCACTGTGAGGTCAGCAAAGGGCTTCTGGTTCTTTTAACACATTGGCTTAATTTGGAAGGCAGTTCACATACGTTTTCTCTAAGGGGTACTACGGGTTTAGCCTAGAGAGCCTACGTCTACTCACATTTACCAATGGAATTATGTTACAGTGGGGAAGTATGATATTTAGTACTTTATTACAGTTAATATATTGAGAATAATATTTTTAATCATGGAAGTATTCTAAAGCATATTCATTCATCAAATCATGATTGAGCAACTTCCATGTCGGGCACTGTTTGATGATGATGGCATGTGAACATGAATAAAATGTGGCCAACTGCCCTCAAGCAGCTTAGAATTTAGTGGTAAAAACAGAAACAGAGCGAGTGGTATCACTGCCATGGTGGTCCAAGGATCATAGAGCTCAGAAATGAGAACTGTTCATATGAATTAGGGAGCATGTGTCTGCACATACAGAAGTTCCTCTTTGTCTGTAGGGGGATACGTTCCAAGACCCCCCAGGGGATGCCTGAAACCACAGATAATATATCCTATATATACTGTGTTTTTCCTGTACCTACGGTCAAGTTTAATTTATTAAAGTAGACAAAGTAAGAGATTAACAATAACAATAAAATAGAACAATTATAGCAAGATGCTGTAAAAAGAAAAATGTTATGTGAATGTGGTCTTCTCTCTCTCTCTCAATTTCTTGTTGCACTGTACTCACTTATTTTTGGACCACGATTGACTGTAACTGAAACCACGGAAAGCTAAACGGCAGAAAAGGGGAGACTATCCCCAATAATTTCATCAGTTAAAGGACGGAAGTATGGGTTGGCACCCCAAGAAAAGGAGATGGATTCAAGTGGAGGTATTTGGGGTTTGAGTAGCTTTGGCTTTGTTCTAACAGAAAGTAAATTAAAAGAGAGAAACTGTAGCAGAAGAGGAAGGGCAGTGAGTACTGAATTCATTTCCCAGAAGAGAAAGGGGGGGTGGAGGTCAAGGGGGACGCCTGAGGATACAAAGACTCACGCAGCCACAGGTAGGTGTGGGGACGGAGAGCAGAGCAGTTGCCCGAGTTTACGCCACGGGCAAAGGAGGAAGGCAGAGGTGGGAACACTGTCCTAGGAAGGGAAACAGATCCAGAGTGGGAGACAAGCAGAAAAGTTGAAGGTGCAAAACAGTGACTTTAAGGAGCGGGTGAGAAAGGTCCCTGTGATGTAATGTTAGGTGAGCAGCCCTGAGAGCTGACCTCAACTTGGAGAGTGAAGGAGAGAAAGTGACTGCCCATGTAAAAGCCTCAGTGATGTCCCTTACAGCCTATCCAATGGACTTGTTCATTCCTTTCTTACTTGTCAGTAGCACTCAGCATTTTCGACTACTCCTGCTCTCTTGAAACACTTCTTTCTTCCGTGAAACCACACTCTCTTACCTGATTGCTCGCTACTCAGTCTGTCACTCCGCTGTCCAATCTCTGAAATGTTAATGCTCCTTAAAGCTCACCACTGAATGCTTTCCAAATCCACTCTTGTCCTGTGAGCTTTCATCCACTCCGGTAGCTTCCCGTCCGACCCAAACACAGGTGATGCCCACGTAGGCAGCTCCTTGTGAACTCGGGCCCCAGTTATCCAACCAGCTACTTGATATCTCCCTTCGTGAATGTCTCACAGGAGTCTCAGATAAAGCACATGCCCTTTCAGGTGTTTTTCTTAGTGTCTGATTCTCCATCAATCGTCTGTATCTCATTAAATTTTAATTCCATCAAACCTGTTGCTCCTGGTGAAAACCTTGTAATTACCATTGGTTTGTTTTAATCCTTTTCTTCCTATATCCAAAGTAGGTGATTATCAACTAAAATTCCAAAATGCATTATTACCCCTCCTTTTTTTTTTCTATTTCTACAGTTGTCACCCTATTCCACTCGGAATTCTATGGAAGCTGTAATTTCCCGCAAGAGCTTTCTGAATTTCCCTCCAGACTTTCCTCATTTTAATTGAATTATACTTCTCCTCCACTGGGGAAAACAGCCTTAACGTATAAGACCCCAAATCCTTAACTTGCCCTGCAACATCCTGCAAGACCCCAGCACCACTGTCTCGGGATCTTCTCACAAAAGCAGCCATGTCGTTCTCTATTCTTTGGCCACGTCGGTCTTTTAAGTTCTTCAAAGGTGCCATATCATTTGTCTCTTCAGAGCCTTGCACTTTTGATCCTTCTGTTGGGGATGCTTTTCCCTCGACCTCCCTGGCTCCCTCCTATGTATACTGCAGTTCTCAGCTCACCTTCTCTTCCTAATGTGTATCTTTCATAATATAAATTACATAAATGAAATATTTCCTCTATGTTTGCTCTTACTGTCTCTCATTTGCGTTATTTTATGTTTGTTTCCCCAACTAGATTGTCAGGAATGCATCTGTTCTGCCCACCATGGAAGCTCCAGTCCTGACACACAATTCCTGGCATGTGGTGGGTGCCGAGGAATATTTTATTTTATTTATTTATTTATTTTTATTTATTTCGAGACGGAGTCTCGCTCTGTCGCCCAGGCTGGAGCGCAGTGGCCGGGTCTCAGCTCACTGCAAGCTCCGCCTCCCGGGTTCACGCCATTCTCCTGCCTCAGCCTCCGGAGTAGCTGGGACTACAGGCGCCCGCCACCTCGCCCGGCTAGTTTTTTGTATTTTTAGTAGAGACGGGGTTTCACCATGTTAGCCAGGATGGTCTCGATCTCCTGACCTTGTGATCCGCCCGTCTCGGCCTCCCAAAGTGCTGGGATTACAGGCTTGAGCCACCGCGCCCGGCCACCGAGGAATATTTTAAAGAGGAAGAAAAGAAGGTAGAGAGAGAAGAGGAGGGAAAAGCAGAGATGGGAAGAAAAATATCAGTAAATATTTTAGGGAAGATACTAAGCTTGGCTTCAATCAACTATGCAAAGCAAAACAAAACAAACAACAACAACAAACAAAACCAGAGCCTATTCCAAGGTAAGGGTCTAGGAAACCCTATATGAATCAAAGCTACAGAGAGGTTAACATAAGCAAAAGGAAAAATAAAAAATAAGGGGCTGCACAAAGACAAGAATTAATTTCCCACATAAATTAGAGGTCTTTCATTACACATTAGACCTGATTATTCCATGGTCTTTCAGAATACCAGGGGAACATAGTGACACAGCAACCACAAATGAGAGTGTCAGGCTAATAGTAACATGCATTATTGTATTTCCTCTGGTTTATAGGAAGCTAGAAAATATGATTTTGTTATGGTTCACTGGGGAGATATTACTAAGTCATCACCAGTTGGCATGGTGTGATTATAGAGACAGAACATGTCTGTTCATGACGAGTGAAGTGTGTGGCCCAGGAAAACATTAGAATTTATTGGATTAGGACATTTCAGATGCTTTGAGTCGTATGAACCAGGGCTTAACCCACCTCCAGACTGATAGTTACATCCAACAATCCATAATAAACCCAGATACCATCACCTCTTGGGATGAGGCTCCAGGTTTACCAGTCTTCTGATCTGACAGGTCGTTAGAGATGGAATTCGAAAAACTTCTGGTCTAAAGACAGAAGGAAGGAAGAAAAACCAAGTGCATGTGAGTAAGGCTAATTAAAAGATTTAAACATGTTGAATTTTTCTTTCACCATGAAAACAATTAAAAAGCAAAATTGGACACAGTGCAGCTAAAAAGATTTAACTGTACTTAGCTTAACATCTACATTTCTCAAAAGATAAAATGTGAGATTCCTCACTTGATCCTTCTGTTTTTTCCATCACGTGGACTGTGTCCTCTGACGTGATTTCACTCCTTATTGACTTGCCCAGGGGAGCACTTCCACCCAGACTAACAGCTGTGGAGAAGGGGCTGTCACTCTCCACCTCTAACGCCATCACAGCATTTAGCTATCAGTACAGACACATCTACATTTTCTCCCATTTAAAGAGAGTCTGAAAATCAGGTAACAGCTGACATTTCAGGAAGATGTGCTCTCCAAAATAAAAATCTGATTCTCTCAGACTCACATTATTAGATCAGATTGGTGAGGGCCATTTCTGTTATCATGACTGAGGGAAATACTGAGGTGGAATTTGGCAATATTTCATGAAATTTCTTCCCAGAACAGGAATTTTTGGAAATGGAAGCTCCTGTTATTTTAAATAGGAAATATCTTCCCGTCCAAAAAATAAAACAGAAAAATGGAGATTTTGACTTTTGACATTTGGAATCAAGCTTATCTCCACATTTATACTTCTTACCACACCACAGTTTGTACCCACTGGCATGTCACTGCCCACAGTTCTATGCGTTTTTACCTTTAGAAAACATTTTAAAATCCCAATCTTGCAATCTTGGACTGCACAACACGGGACTTCTTAGGTCAGATGATGTATTAGTCTGTTCTCAAGCTGCTAATAAAGACCTACCCAAGACTGGGTAATTCATAAAGGAAAGAGGTTTCATTGACTCACAGTTCAGCATGGCTGGGGAGGCCTTAGGAAACTTACAATCCTTGTGCAAGGGAAAACAAACATATCCCTCTTCACATGGTGGCAGCAAGGAGAAGTGCAGAACAAAAGGAGGAAAAGCCTCTTATAAAACCATCAGATCTCATGAGAACTCACTATCATGAGAACAGGATGGGGGAACCTCACCCATGATTCAATTATCTCCACCTGATCCCTCCCAGGGCATGTGGGGATTATGGGAACTACAATTGAAGATGAGATTTGGGTGGGGACACAGCCAAACCATACCAGATGATGCACAAACCTTTATTTGATTAAGGGGCTTGTATTAGTCAGGGTCTAATCAGGAAAATGCAATTAATTCTTCCTATTTCAATGAAGACAACATAACATAGAAAAGGGAATCGGATGCATAAAGACGATACAGTGCACAGACGAACAAAACGAGATTGCTCCCTCTCTGAAGGCCACAGAGAGAAGGGAAGAGTCAGGCAGTGCTGCTGGACCCCCAGACAGAAGGGAGAACCAGGACAGGTCTCTCCAGGCGGGAGGTGGGGCTACAGAGGACATTCGGACCAGGGTCGTATTGCCACCAGACACAGAGGGACAGGGAAAATCATCCTCTCACCCTCCAATGCTCTCACTGGAAGAAATCAGCCAGAACCAGCCCAGAAAGAGCAGGAAGGAGTCATTTCCTGATCTGCACAATACAGAGTGGGCATATTTCATTGACAAAAGGCACATTGACCAAATATGTACAGCACCTCCATACTGGTCACAATGTGGTTTTGAAATACATATACACAAAATGTTAGAAATCATTATATTTGTAGCTACAATGCAAAATTTTAATAAATACTTCTCAAAAATCAGCATAGCAACTAGAATAAGAGAAGGAAAAACATAAAGGCTTGAGTAACCTACTGTGTTTTAATAAATATAGTCACAGAACTATACATACTAAACTGAATATCCCAAGTTGTCAATTATTCATGATCTATGTAAGCAAATTAAACACATATTAAGCCATGAAAGAATTACTAAATTCCAAACAGTAGGAATCAAATCAATCATATTCATAGGTTATGATCTCCATGGAGAGTATAAAGAGAAGTTTGAAAACATCTTTTGAACTAATTCTTGAATATTTTAAAAGTGAAAATTATAGTCTAGTCAGGGTTAAATAAAAATGATAGAATTTGGCTGGGTGCTGTGGCTCATGCCTGTAATCCCAGCACTTTGAGAGGCCAAGGCAGGCGGATTATCTGAGGTCAGGAGTTCAAGGCCAGCCTGGCCAACATTGCGAAACCCTGTCTCTACTAAAAAATACAAAGATCAGCTGGGCATGGTGGTGGGTGCCTATAATCTCAGCTACTTGGGAGGCTGAGGCAGGGAGAATTGCTTGAACCTGAGAGGTAAAGGTTGGAGTGAGCCAAGATAGAACCACTGCACTCCAGCCTGGGTGACAGAGCAAGACTCTGTCTCAAAAAAAAAATATTTACAACCTCAAGTACTAACATTTATAACATCAAATTCCTGTAATAGAAAACAGGAAATACTGAAAATAAAATTACTAGTTATTCATTCCTCGATTTATTTCATAAAAAGGCACAAAAATAATTAATTATGAAAGTAAGATAGAGTCAAAGAAAATTTCAGTATAAAGTAATCAAATTTTAAAAAACAGCAGTATTGATCAAAAACTCATCTTTGAAACAACAATAAATTAAACACTCATTAATTCTGATTAGAGAAAGTGAGAGAATGTATGAATAAATATAATAATGAAACAAAACCAGAACTAAAGATGCAAGAAACTTTCTCAAAGGAATAAAAAAGTTTTTATTACAAAATAAAAAAAAATCAAATCAGTGGTTCCTTAGAAGAGTGTATATTACAACAATTGCCTTATATTTATATTTCTTACAAATTGAAAACTTAATTTTCAGTTTTTACAAATCTCCCTTGAAAACGTGATAAATGCAACTTTTTTCCCCTAGTAAATTCTACCAAATCTTTAAGGAATAAATATTTCCTATATTATTTAAATTACTCTAAAACACATTGTCTTAGTTCACTAGGGCTGTCATAGTAAAATACTGTAGACTGTGAGTTATACAATGGAAATTTACTTCTTAGTTGTATAAGCTGGGAAGTCTGAGATCAAAGTTCTAGCTGATGTGGTTTCTGATGAGAGCTGTCTTTCTGACTTGTAGATGGCTACCTATTTGTCCTCACGTGACCTTTTCTCAATGGTCAGCTGCAGAGGGAGACAGAAAGAATGCTGTCTGGTCTCTCCTCTTTTAATACTGCCAATCTGCTGGGATCACAGACCCACCCTTATGACCTGATTAAACCTAATTACTTCCAAATACAGGCATACTGGGGATAAGGGCTTCAACAGGTAAATGTGTGGAGCAGGGTGACAGGACAAATACTCAGGTTATGCATACTTAAAAAGAAGAGCAAATTTTTTCAACTCATTCTATAAAAAATCTAACTTAGAAACATACATGCAAAAATTATTCAATTAAATATTAGCAAATTAACTCCTGTATTACAATAAAAGATTAATGCAAGTAGGATTTATCTCAGGAATAAAAGAATTGTTCAATATTAAGAAATGTGCAACTGTAGACTGTGATAAACTGATGCTTTATATTTCCCCAAAATAGAAGCTTCTTAATCCTTATACAGTAACAGATATGTGTTTGTAGATAAATGAGAGAAATAAAGGCTTTTCTTGCCTGCTGAATATCACATGCCTTTGAGTCTGCACAGTTGTTTAAGGTGAGTGTCTTCGGTACTTGCTTTACTGTAAGGTTTTTGTACTTTCAGTAGAGACATTTCATTTTGGCTGACATTATTTGTGGGTAAATGCTTTCATCTGTTATCAGCACTTGGCGGCTATTGTTCCTCTTAAATGCTTAAATTGCACTTATTATGTATAGGTGATGAATTTAGTAGCTTGGCATATTAGCTTTAAGCAAGAAGCTGTAATTTCTAATAAAAGAAGTCAAAGGCCAACTAATTGCAGAATAAATAACCTAGCAACAACTCAATTTATATGGAATTTAATTGAGATTTCAGAATTAAAATGGAATGTAATATTATATAGAAAGTGTCACTTTCAAGGAGATCGGAATTTTCTCTATAAACAAAATATATTTTTCCATTAAAGATCAAGAATATTTATTTATTCTTTATCTCTGCAGGCGTCCTCAATCTAGGCATTAGCCAGCTTCAGCCTGGATTACCTCAGGATCCTCCATACTTCAAAACTACCAGTCACTCATATTTTATATCCATGCTAAATGCTGCCTGCTTATTTTTTCTTTTGAGTATGTCATTCATTTTAAACCAATACACTTTTCCATGGCAAATCTTATCTAAATCTACTTAGCACTTTTTCTTCACACAAACATTATTTTTCCAAAAATTGAATAATAACTTTAGTCTACAAAAATATTTTAGTTTTTCTTCATTTTTCTCCTTTCCATCCAAAATAAAACGATTTTGGAAAACTAGAGATATCAAATGGAGAAACAATGTGTCAGTTATTTGTGTAAGTCACAAAAGAATTGTGTATTTTGTTTAAAAAAACTCAAAAGAAAATCAACTTAAAGTTAAGCTAACCTGTGAACCAATGACGGAAAGAGGCTTGGTAAAATTATTATCTCAATCATAGTGTACAATGAGGCGAGAGCCATTTAGAAACCTCATGTTAGAGGAACCTATTAAATATAAATGGGATTCAACAGATTCATCCACACAACAGATCCTTATTAAGAGCTATGTTTTTGACACACTGTTCTAGGAACATCAGGCAGAACACTGAACAAGACAGACATAAATTTTGTTCTTGTGAAGAGGACAGTATGTAGGGAAGAACAACATTTCACAAATTATTACAGGTAAATGGAGTATTTAAATAAAATTGTCATTGTTGGTATGGGCAGCATATTATAGGCAGACCTAATATTGTTGAAGAGTTCAAAGCATCTCAGCTTTGCAACCTAGCCTGTAGGATTTGGGGTGAATCATTTATATTTCCTGATGTTTATTTCCTTATCTATAGTTGAGATAAATATCTTATAGTGTTCTGATGACACTTAAATGACATTACAGTGTCAAATCACCTAACAGTACCTGATATATGGTAATATGAATAGCTAAAATTTGCTCAGTGAGCACTCTATCCCTAGCAAAATTTATGTATC